TCTGAAAATAAGTTTTTGTTCTCTGTGAACATTTTTAAAGATGGTAAATGTTTATACACTTATCTGAGACACTTAAATTGTTACATTTTTATGTGTTGAACTTCAGGACACCTTGTGTCATAGCTTTCTCAAATTTCAATCAACTAAGATTAGTTTAGAAAATTAAGATTTATTTTTGTGGTATCATAAAGATTCACATACTATGCTGGGTAAGATTATCTAATCTCTGAATTTTAGTTTACTTTAAAATCATTCTATGTCTTTGTAGAAGGCTCTCAAACTGCTTTTGCAGTTACTTGTTCCCACAAATTAACTAAAAGCAGAAGTTTGGCATCCCTGGTGTCCATTTTGTATCTGTCTTTGCTAAGTCATTATCTTTATTGTCACTTTGTAATCACCGTTGGATTCCAAGAAAAGACAGAACTGAATAACATGTTATGACAAGGAACCAGAGCCACCGGACTGCCACCCTCTCAGTGAGAACATTCACAATCCAAGCCAGAGTAATCCTCTCAAAACAGGAGACAGATTACATTCTCCAGGGTATATACTTCCCAAAACTGGATGCAGACCACCTGCCTGACCTACCAGTCATGAGACCAATCAGACCACACCTGTGACTAGGACTGTTAAACTATGCATACCTTTGTTCCCTGCCCCCAGTTCTTTTGTTTACTTAAACTTATAGCTCATGTCGTGTATCCAAAAATGGTTAAAGATGAGCTGAGTGCTTACTCTGCCTCTTCCCAAGGCATGTCCTGAGCAGTGTAATAAACCTCCTTTCTCTGCCTTCACCGTGCCTCTATATTTGGCATTTAGGGGCAGATGCAGGACCTAGTATATTGGAATCTCAGGAGTTTGGTTTGATCCAAAACTTCGGTTTCAGCTTGAACCAGTTTATTTGCCCTACCCTTTATATGAAGACAATGACTTTATCTTCTCTGTTGGAACTGCTGCTGAATGAATACAGATAAAATATAAGATAAAGAAAAGCAAGCAGATCAAAGTTGATGCTAAGATAAATACATTTATCCATATAAGTTCATTGAGTGCTAATGGTTTATCAAATTTAATTTTGTTTTGTTGAGCTTACATGCTTTCTATGTTTTGTTACTATGAGTAATTTCATCTTTTTAGAGACCTTTCTATCCTGATCCCAAACCCCCAGTTAAAACCCCATGCTTTATGTGGAAGCCAGGACAGAATTTCATTAACTAGTTAAGGCCCAATTTACAAAGCCGAATTTTTTACACAAAATCTTAGTTTTCAAATATATCTTCAAACTAATAACTGTGTTAAACTGCTAACGGAATTTAGATGAGTTTAAGGATTTTTAGAAATACTTAGTGTACCTTCTGTTTTACTGGGGGGCTTAGGTGAGAGGCAGAGAGGATAATTGATGGATGACTGGGATAAAATTCTGCCTTGTAGGGCCTTTATAAATGTAACACGGGTTAATTCCATGACAAAGGGAAAATAGATAGATACCACCCCTCTCTTTAGTTTGTGTGGAAGCTTTCAGGTCTGACAGGGAATCCCTGCAGTATTCTGCAAATGCCTCCAGGGCTCTACATCTAAATCCTCAAATCAGTTAACAAAGGGGATAACAGTAATGCGAGAGAAAGGCACAGACTGAGGCTGAATCTTGCCCTGGACAGTACTGAAGAACTACCAAGGGCACAAACTGTATATGTGGCCTATGAGGGACCCT